TGGCGCAATATGGTTCATGGGGTCACGAAGAGTCGGACACGACTTAACGACTAAACAACAACAACAACATGAAATTAAAGATTGTTGCCTTTGAGGTAATCCTAATGATTTTGATAATCAAGGCAGAAGGTTTCTGCTGCTGTTTCATAAAGGTATATCCACGATAACGAAGGCCACACGCATAGATCAGGATGCCTGGAACGAGCCAAGTTGATGGCCTCACTTCAGCTGAGAGTGGCTTCACCTGGCTGAGAACTGTTTGTTTCATGGGGCTGCTGCACATTAGCTGTTGCTATGACGAACCCAAACGTGCGGGTTTTTTCCCCTTGCATGGCCAAAAAAAGAACGGCGGAGCCGATTCGAGAGAAGCAACCGGGAGTTTTGGGAGACTCCCCCTCCCCTCTCCCTCGCCCTCAAAGCTTTATATGGTCTGCGTGCCATCCTGCCAGCATCACCGGAGGGACCGCCCCTGAGGCTAATCGCTCCACTTCGGCTGCTATCGCGTTGTTTTCCCTCCCTGCCTTTCCTATCAGCCGATTGGAGGCGGAGGGTGGCTGAATGAGAGCGGCACGCAGGGAGTCACCCGGTTATTTTGGATGGCCTGAGGGCAGCTTATATCTGGAGAAAGACACGCACCTATACATACATATATGATGACTTTCGCGCGTGCCGTTCCTGGAGCTCAGTCAACAAGTCCCTTGGGGGGTGGACTAAGGCGAAGCGCACAAACCAATACCAGCCTTTCCCCGCCGGAGCTCGGGGGGTTATAGCTAGTCCGGAGGAGAGCTTGCACAGATACACGAGGGAGGGCGCGAGGCGCGGGACTCCTCTCCCTGCCCCACTGCTCCTCGCCCGCCTGCCTCTTCGTGGGAATCCTACCAGCGAGGGCTTGTGGGTAACGAGGAGGAAGCCATCGCAGTAATAGTAGCCGTGTAGCAGCAGCAGCAGCCGCCGCAGCCAGAATAAATAAGGTTGTAATTGCAAAGAAAGGGGAGCGGGCGGAGAGGCAACAGCGACAGCAGCTTTAGCCACTCGTTCGGCCGAGGAAGCAGCGCCTTGCAGAGGTCAGTGCGGGGCAGCCCGCTCCCTCGCGAGAAACGCCTCCAGAGAGGGACCCAGCGAGGCGGGCCCAGCCGCTCTCCCTCCCCTCCTCCTAGCCACAGAGGAA